GTAATAACAGAGACTGCTAAGAATTAATTCCAAAAGAAATCTTAATCTCTTAACCAAAAGCTCTATCTCTTAACAAGATAAAGAAAAACCAAAGCGTTATTTATGGAGTAATTCCAAAAGAAAGTTCTTGATTCAAAAAAATATTCCAAAAGAAAGCTCCATCTCTTAGCCAAAAGCTCTTATCTCTTAACCAGATAAAGAAAAACTAACAAACAACAAGGAGACCTGAGTGCAAAACGCGTAGAAGGTGTTTCTATAAATTATTAACTTTTTTTTTTTTATGAGGAAAGAAAATAAGATAACAACAAGTTAACAAAAAAAAAACAGGAACCTAAAGTAATACCAAAAGAAAATATTTACATGCTCCTCCCAAAAGAAAATATTTACATGCTCCTCTCTCTGTGTGTATATTTCTCTTCTCCATAAAAAAATAAAATAATCACAAAAGTTCAAAGGAGATGAAAATAACAGAGAAACATTGAGATCTGAGGATTTCCAGCAAAAAGGAAAAAACATAACACTAGAAAATTACTAGGAACAAAAGACCTAAGCTCGTAAAAACATTTGAGGGTATAGAGATAAGTACAATAAGATGCCAAGAGAGTGAAAATAGAGAAGTTAGAAAGACAGTAAAGAGAGAGAATTCTAATAAAGCGAAAAAAAAAGAAGCTACAGAGCCTTTCGTCCAGGGAACTTCGAGCCCCAAAATTTTTATTTTTATTTTTACTTTCTTATTTTTTTATTTATTTCTTTATTTTATCAAAAAAAAAGTGCCTTGAAAAGGAGATCTAGGACTTTTGTTTTTTTTTTTGGCTCTATATTTTTTTCATGCAGATCTAGCTTGAAATGCCCCACTGTGAGCACCAAACTATTTACAGTGCAGATCGAGACGATCTCCGAATGGGGATCGCTCAGATCTAAACCACAAACTCATTTTTTTAAGAGTGATAGAGAGTAGGGGCAATCAAATTCTAATTTGAGGCTAGATCTACTCAGAAGTGAGTAGATTTCTTCTCAGATGGCAGAGCCAATATTGATCCAAAAGCACGAAAGATTGAATGAAAAACGAATAAAATCATAAATCTAACAAAAATAACTGAAAATAAGGGAAAAAAGGATGATGAAAATACCTAGCCGGGCCAGTTGGTCCGAGACATCCGAGGCTTCGAGGCCTCGTCTGTATTAGAACCAAGGCGTTTACACCGTGTGTCCTCTATTGTTCTCTCTTCAAACTTGACCAAATCTTGGCTTGGTTGAACTAGAGTTTTGTTGATCTAGGCTAAAAGTTGGTTTCAGGGGGCTAGGGCTTCAAAGTTGCTTCTCTAGATCTAAGGTTGCTCTCTAGCTCTCTCTGATTTCTTAACTCACCCGTTCTCTGATTTTCCCAGCTTTTTTCTCCCTCTCCCAAAATGGTCGCCCAAATATCTTTTTAAAGATTGAAAAAAGAGTGTAAACGGATAAGTACCAAAAACCACCAAATTTGCTAGATCACAAGATGGGGACCATGGACTATGGTGGTCTATGGTTTAGGGGTCTACTGAAATAGAGTGATCCTAAGGGTTCAAGAAAACCATGGAATTTACCATTTTCAAAATGGGGTGTCTACGCCCATTGTATTATTAAGTTATATTGTGTAAGCAATCCCTCTTAGTTGTGAGAATATATATTTCATTTAAAATCCTATATTTATGATGTCTTATTGTTTTAGATTCTTAAATCACAATGATGAATCCATAGATATTCTTTGATTTTTTCTTCTATTTCAAATAAGCCATGAGATGAAAATATATGCTTTCATTTCAAGCTTTAAAATTTACAAGAAGGTTCTTTTACATCAGAGAGAGAGAGAGAAAGAGAAAGAGAGAGAGAGAGAGAGAGAGAGAGAGAGAGTAGTA